GAAGGTTCGTGAGCGAGGGAGGTAGGGGATGGGTGGGAAGATCCCAAATTGCGTGATCGAGGCTGCAATCTGTAGGACGCAGAAAATACCACCGCCACAGCTGTTCTTTCATGCATGTGAAAGAGACATAAATCAGGGCTGATGCTTGTGAGGCAATTGATGTATGAGCTGCCCGTAAACTATCAATAAAAATACATTGTGCACACGTTGTGTTTTTAACATTGCTTCCCACAGCAGCGTTCAACTGCTTGAACTTCATATGCGTGTCGCTGATGAACGAGGTGAGAGGTGATAACCTTGGTCTTGGGTTCACGCTACTCACTCGCCCACTGTTAACCTAGCAAACCGACTGCACATAGAGTATATATAATTCTTTCATCTGATATTGCTCCTTATCACGTCTTCGAGACATCTCAAAGCGCTTCACAAAATATACTGTAAGGTGAATTGACTGTATAATTTGTGGGCGATACACGGCAGCCAATAGCGCACAGGAGAGTCCCACAAACTTGAGATAATAACGAGTCCTTACATTTGGTGAGATGCCTTTCATGACAGGAGGACGTCTCAAATCGCTTCACAAGGATATACTATGAAGGACTGTGCATTTTGTAGGCGAACATTGCAGCCAATTTGTGCACTGCTATGTCTCACAAACAGTCACAAAGTCAATGATCAATAAGGATGTAAGACCATGTCCTGCAAATGAGCCCTGGGGAGTCTGCCTCCCCCTTCCTCTCTCTCCCGGGCTCAGTATCGGGCTCTGCCACTTTTAAGCGTTTCGAGATTCTGCCTCGCATGAAGGGCGCTGTGTAAATGCAAATTATAATAATAATCCTTGCATTTGATATAGCGCCTCATCACGTCTTCGAGACGTCTCAAAGCGCTTCACAGAATATACTGTGAAGTGAATTGACTGCATTTATGGGCAAAAAGAAATCATTTTGACACCTGGCAAATTGGCATTTCTTTCTCTTTGAAATGGCCTGTGCTGAGATAACGTATGTTTTCTCTGTGAATCTACAAATCCATTAAAACCATATCTTTATGAAGCTCCAATACAAACCTAGTTATTGTAAGTATAAGGATTATAGAAACTTGTTACTGGTATTGGTCTGAGCGGGGTTATTTCTGCATAATGGGGTGGTGGTGGGAGGGGTGGGGGGAGAGAGGCTGTTCTGAATAAGGAGACAGGAGAAGACTGAAGTAGTTGTTCTGCTTATCTATGGACAAAACATTTGCACAAAGGCTGGTCTCTTGGCTTCTAATGAAAGCAATCAATATGGCAGGTCAACATGAACCTCAGGCTATTCTCCACTAGAAGAACATCCAAACCCTTCGTCAAAAGCGCTGCCTACTACTCCAGCACTGCCTCAGCTTAGCCAACAAATTGGCCTCAACTCTCTATGAACTGAGAATGCTAAGTTGGTTTGTTCTGTGGGTATTATAATAATAATCTTTTTGAGTTTGATATAAAACCTTATCACGTCTTCAAGACTTTTCAAAGCTAATAAGGGATTATTAGTCCCAGAAAAACAATCTGCCAATCGACTAACAACCAGGTTCCTACTTAAAGCTAGGTAAACAGGTGTGTGGAGAAAGGGAACTTGCCCAACGTTTCACCGTTTTTGTTTCTTTGCTGTTTTTGTTGCTTTGCTTGCCCACAAATACCAACAATGTCCACGGACCCAACTGGGAATATAACGTTAAGAAAGAATGAAGAGAGTGGGGGGGGAAGAGGGTAAGAAGCTGAAGGCGAAGAGTTCAATGACCTGACTTTAGATTCTGATATTGGCCGAATGAAAGCCTTTCATTGACTTGAAAAAAGAGTCAACAGTTTAGATAGTCTCTGAATAATTGAGGGTCTTTCAAAGAGTACATAGTTTGGGTCATACACGTAATAGGAGGATTTCTCGACTTGGCAGCTACAAGTTCATTTAAGTTTGAGAACGTAAGGAGGGAAGAAAACCTGCAATTCCAGCTCATCTTAGCCTCAAGCCCCTTTATTTTTGTATCTCAAAATTTGAAGGTAGCGGAGGATTACTGAAGGTTCTTCAATTCAGTCTCAATTTTTAAGGACTGCAGAAATTCATCGTCCAAATGAAAGCTATTTTTATTCTGTGTATTCTTAAATTTTAAGGCAAAATGAAAATGGTGCCAAACGGCTAATAATACAATAGTAATAATAATATGATATAGCGCCCTATCACATATTCGAGACATCTCAAAACGCTTCACAGTAAAGTGAATTGATGGTATATTTTGTGGGCTAAGACTATACACTGAAAGGTGGGAGGGGAAGGAAACAAAATCTATGAAGAGGATGACATTCACTGGAGTTTGACTTCGCGAAAAGGGTCAGGGAGCGATTCGTGAAAGTTGCCAGAATGAGCTAAAAGGCCAGGAAGTGGCATAGACAGCTCTGGGAGGGGTGTGGGTCACTTCTGGCGCTCCAGCATTTATATTTCCACATTCTGAACTGGTTTCGGAATTTGTGATTCGTAAGAGAATGCGGCAGCCAATTTACAGACAGGACCGCAAGAGGTCCCACACCCAGGCACGAGCTGTGCGACCAATTAATCTGGAGAATCATTGGCCAGGACGCAACACCCTGTGACTTGCAGTTGAATGAATAACTTACCCTGTGCCAGTCTGTCTATCGCCTGAAATGCAGGCAGGAAAGCTAGGAGTGCACCAGGCATTCTGTGTTCCACAAGCAGTCCTATGTGCCCATGTATCGTATTGGTGATCTGCTTGCCAACTGCTAACAAGACCTTTTCCTGACATATTCTTTCTTGTAAATATTGCTGCTAGTGACTAATCAATAGCAAGCTATGTGATTTTAGCTAGTTAGACCCCAGCAGTTACCCCAACGCACACCCTGGGGTCCCTCAAGCCTTGGCTCTCTCCAACCTGCAACTAATACTTTCCGGAATTAGGTAACCAGGATACGTCCCTCCAGGGAGAGAGGGAGAGAGAGAGAGAGCATTCTATTCCAACAATCTATCTCTGGGATTTCCAGGTGTAGGTGGGATGCATGGAAATCTCAGCTTGGTTTGGAGACTCTTAAGCAACTGTGATTGGTTTCCGCATGTGTCAGACACCCGGCCAACCAAAAAAACAAATATCGGCGGGTGGCAGAAGGTTCCTCTGTTCTGTTGGTTATAATTTAGTTCCAAAGGTTTCACTAAACCCTTAAAGAGCCAGGAAGAGGCAGCATTGAGCAAACCCGAGGCCCAGTCTACAGCACTGTTTGTTTATGCCAGACAGCTTAGTGCAGTCGGAGATGGGGAGCATTAACACACGCGGAGTGTGGCATCTGAAGACTGTGCCACGTCTGTCAGGAGGCAGACGCCGCAATTATGATAACGATCTGCGGGACGCTGAAAGGATTGTGTGTCACTGTGCTCCAGCATTATGGACATGTGTAAAATGTTAAATGACACAAGGCCCAACGGGAGAGAAAGGGCAACAGATGTCTGTCGGCATCAGGTATCAGTAAACTGCAGGAGCACATGGTGGGCTACTGTTCTCTGCTCTTCGGAAAACATCACCCGATGATGTTCCTCATCGATGTAGCTTCAGCTTAAAGAGGCACTGCATTCCGTGGCACCACAGACGTTTGACAATCCGCTGACAGCATTTCTACACACAGTTGAGTATTTCTGACAGAATCAAAGAACCTTTAGAAATCAGGTTGAGTGGATTCAGCCCTCTGTGTCTGTGCTGGGGCTCGCTCCCCCATTGGAGCTCTCTACTCTAACCCCATTCCCTGCTCTCTCTCTCCCCATCGTGTCTGTGCTGGGGCTCGCTCCCCCATTGGAGCTCTCTACTCTAACCCCATTCCCTGCTCTCTCTCTGCCCATTGTGTCTGTGCTGGGGCTCGCTCCCCCATTGGAGCTCTCTACTCTAACCCCATTCCCTGCTCTCTCTCTGCCCATTGTGTCTGTGCTGGGGCTCGCTCCCCCATTGGAGCTCTCTACTATAACCCCATTCTCCCACTCTCTCCTTTAAAACCTCTATTAGATTCTTTCCCGTTTAACCTTCTCTGATACCGTCCAAACCTTTTGAGTCTCTCCACATAACTATAATCTCCTCCCTGATATCAACCCAGTGAAGGATCACCTCTATACGCTCATAATATTTGATTTCTCTTATATGTTGCTTTTGTGATATTTTTCACCTTCCTTGGGAACATAAACCATTCACTGTCTGAATAGGTGAGCATTCAGCCTCCCCCCAACACACTGCCATTCTATACCTGCCAGCCAGGGGGAGCAAGGGAGTGACTGAGCTCCCAATGTATCCTGTGACAACAACAATCATAAATAATTACATTTATCTGGTCAGGAGGATGTCCCAAGGCTCTGGACAGTCAAGAGTTTGGATCCAAGCAGAGGGTTGGGATCAGGAAGGTTGGAGGGCAGAGAGGGTAGGGACACCTTGCTAGGCCTGACGTATGAGATGGTAACCTCAACACTCAGCATAATCACAAACCCCTCTCATATTGTTCTCCCATCCCAGTACCGTGTACAATTTTGCCCATACAAAATACAGTCACTACACGTTGCAGTAAAAATCCTGTGAAGCATTTTGGGAAGTGCTCCCAACATGGAATTACATCAAATACAGGGTTTATTATAATCGCAACACACACACTGCTTCGCATTTGGCCTGAGCTCATTTGGATCAAAGAGGATAAAATGAAAGTGACCAGGATTCAGTAACCTGAACACATCTGTTAATTGCACCAAATTGTCAAATGAACTTGTAAATGCTGCGAGATATAATTTTTAATACTTTTAGGAACATGAGAACATGCACCATCGAGAGGTTTGGTCAATCATTTGACTGATCCTACAGTAACAGAAAATCCTCTACCCCTCCACCTCTCATATCCCTCAATCAATTATTTTTCCCCAAACAGCTGCCTAAGTTGCCCCCACTCCGAGCTTCAATACAATTCATAAACCAAACAAACGAGATATGTTGAATCGTACCTGTATTGTATTAAAATCCCCTGAGGCACAGGCTCCCAGAATAGCAGCACCCACCAAAACAGACTCCACTTCCTCAGCAAGAACAACCGGCATGCCTGGACAAGAGATAACAACACCTGCTTTATACATTATTCAGTGGTTGACGAAACATGCGGGATTTCTTAATGAGCAAACCAAGGCATTCGAATGCTTGCACGAGATAGCCAAGAATAGAGGGGTATGAGTAAGGGATTGGGATAGGGATTTGGGAGGGGTGCAGCTCATGTGGCATATAATAATAACAATAATAATCTGTACATTTGGTATAGCACCTTATCACGTTCTTGAGACGGCTCAAAGCGCTTCAAAGAATACACTGTAAAGTGAATTGACTGTATTTTGCGGGCGAAACACAGCAGCCAATTGGACACAGCAGCATCCCACAAACAGTCATGGATTGAGTGACCAAATTATTATTAGTTTTTTTTGAAAGGGTTGTAAACACCGGCTGCTGAACCAAATGGTCCGTTTCCTTGCCTTACAGACCCGGGTAATTCTACCTAAATGTCACCTTCTGGTAATTGATCTGAGTCACTCGAATTGAATTGAATTATAATATAATAATCCTTGAATTTGATATAGCGCTTTTCATGTCTTCTCGACATCTCAAAGCGCTTCACAGAATAGATTGTAAAGTGAATTTACTGTATATTTGTGGGAGAAACGCGGCAGCCAATTGCACACAGCAGCGTCCCACAAACAGGTCTTGTGGGACACTTTCATGTTCTGCGACATGAAAGGCACGATACTATGTCAGCAATAGTTCTATTACATTTTTATACTTACTTAGAGATGACCAGGTTCCCCAACCCCCTTGGCTATGCCAATTCCCACTAGTGACTGAGGAGCACAAGGAATCTTTATTAACTGGGCACCAGGAAGACTGGTAGAGGCCCAGCCATTGATCTAATCCTGAAACCACCCAAACCCTTTCAAACATCTCTGCTTCGAATAATCTTTCCAATTCTTCCAAGCTGGAGTCAAGCCAATACCAAGATTTAGGGGGATTTTTATGGTGAGACTCCTTGTAGCTGCATGTTTTCCCCCTTTCTCTTTTTTGATTAGATGTCCACATCCTGGTTCATTGGGTAACCCACTCCCATATCTCTGTTAATGGCAATCTGAACCTACCTTCAAAGCAACACCAACAACAACTTGCATTTATATAGCGCCCCTCTCCAGGGTAGCGTCTCAGAGCGCTTGACAGAGGCGGAGCACGATGCTGAGCCAGGGGGGATGGTAAGTGACTGTAGGCGTGGTCGAATAGAAAGGTCTTCAGGCACGATCTGAAGATGGGGAAGGAAGGGGCAAGGCGGAGCGATAGAGGAAGTGTTCCAGAATTTCGGGGCGCAGTGGCTGGTGTCTTCCCTAAGCTTGGGTAAAAGGACAACGCAGTTGGGGAGAGATAGAAGGACAAGGTGCCCTCTATAAGGACAGCATGTTCTACAATGGAACATTGTCTTGTAGGATTAGATGTGCCTAAATGAGCATGATTGATTTGCAACTGTTATCCACTGATGGTAAGTTCAGGAGAATCTTTGCAGAGGAAAGAATCCTGAATTCCACCCACAGCTTCATATATAAGCTGGTTCCTGGCGTGCTGTTTGGTTAACACACAGAGATGGGACCCTCTTGCTGTTCCCTGTTGAAATGGTATACTGCTGAAAACGGGATGATAAATGATGGATAGAAGTCTTGCTCTTCCTTCCTCCGCGCAAAAAAAACACACAATCTGATAAAGGCTGTTTGTGCTGACAAGTCTAAGCCGCTCTGTAGGGCAGAGAGTGCATTTCAGCCGTGCTGCACTGTTTCCAGTCTATCTGCCAATACCCATGATAAAAAGCATGTTCCACATATACAATTATACGGATCACATGAGACCTCACTAATCCTGGTTAAAACCAGCTTGCTGTATGTTATACTCACTCCACATTATCTTACGATCATTTTGTACATTTCACACAATAAACAGACAAGCACACCACCTATAACTCCAACTTAACTGTCAGTGTTTTACAAACTTCTAAGAATTGTGTCTTTTCGTCTTATTTCCTGCAGCTATGCTATAATCCTCATTATAGTCCAACACTGAAGACCAGTACTATTAATAATAATAATCCTTGCATTTTATACAGCTTTTGATATCAGGAGGAAGTCTCAAAGGTGCTTCATGGGATACATGTTGCGTAGTGACTGAGTATTTTGTCAGCGAACATGGCTGGCTGCCAATTTGCACACAGCAAACAGCCATGAAGTGAATGACCTATTTTTTTCAGGGGTTGGTCGGCCAAGAATCTGGGAGAGAGAAACTCCGTTCTCTTTTCGATAGTACCTTGGGATCTTTAGCATACATCCGTGAAGCGCTTTGAGATGTGCTCCCGACGTGAAAGACCCTGTGTCAAATGTAAGGATTAATTTGTTTATTATTAAGGATTGTCATTAATGAAGCACCAGTGATTCTTGGTGACAATGAAGCCATTTCTCAGTGTAACAACAAAATTAAATTTGTGTAGTGCCTTTTACATCGGGTGCGGGACAGTCAGGAATTTGGGCCCAAGCTGGGGGTGGGGATCGGAGGGGATAGAGGGCAGGGAGGGTAGGGGTAGGAGGGTGACCGAAGTCATGGTCGAAGAGGAGGGTCTTAATAATAATATTCCTTGAATTTGATATAGCGCTTTTCATGTCTTCTCGACGTCTCAAAGTGCTTCACAGAATATGCTGTAAAGTGAATTGACTGTAAATTTGTGGGCGAAACGCAGCAGCCAATTGCGCACAGCAATGTCCCACAAACAGCCGTGGATTGAAAACGACCAATTTATTATTGTTTTGTTTTGGAGGGATTATTATTGAGATGGGCTTTGAAGGAATCAAAGGAGAGCGAGGCGAAGGGACTGTGGGATGGAGTTCCAAAGGGTGTGGGTAGAAAGGCTGAAGGCTCAACCACCAATGGTGGGGCGGGCAGGGTGGGGGAAATGGAGCAGGCGAGAGCCCACTAAACGGAGGGAGCGAACAGGTCTATTTGGAAGTAACAGGTCACAAGTAAGCAAGAAGTACTAGGAGAGGGGGAATAAAAGTGGATGGAAAGGCAGAACGTTACTGTCAATCATTAAACGTTCTGTGTGATTGACCTCTTTTATGTTTGCTGTCTCTCCTGTTCAACCATGTGTACTGTTGGTTGAAAGCTGAACAATTTTCCATTCACTTGCAGAAGCCTAGATTCACTGAATGATGCAAAACAACGTGATGCTTTTCACAAGAGCTTTGATGTGGTAATTATTACGTTGGATCTGTTTAGAAACCCGGGGATTTTAATTGATAATTAGCAACCATCTCTGGGCATGAACAAGCCGTTGTATTCCATGAAGCAGCAGTGAAAACAATACATTGGCCGCTAGCGGGAACAAAGATGACAGCTACCAATGGGTTGAGATGGATTGGGTCACAGCCCGTGTTCCAACATCGATGATGATAATAATATAATAATAATCCTTGCATTTGATACAGCACCTGATCACGTCGTTGAGATGTCTCAAATTGATTCATAGAATATACTGTGAAGTGAATTGACTGTAAATTTTGTGGGCGAAATGCAGCAGCCAATTGTGTACAGCAGCGTCCCACAAACTGCAATGGATTGAGTGACCAAATTATTATTATTATTTATTTTTTGAAGCGATTATTACCTCCATAAAAGTGATCCCCCAATCGACTAAAACCGGGTTCCTACTTACTGCTAGGCACGTGGAGTAAAAAAACTTGCCTAAAGTTTTGCCCTGCTGGGAATCAAATCCAGGTCCTCTGGCTTGTGAGGCGAGTGCTCTAATCAATATCCTACAGGAATCCTGATACCCCAAAATTCCACCGTTTCTTAATTAAACAATTAACATGTGAAATTTGTTATGGTGCATTAATTTCCCCTCCACCCACCCCCTAGGTTTCTGCAGCATTTCATTCCGGGATGCTTGCAAACTGCTACGGGGGGATAAAGGGGAGAGATAAGTGACAAGACACTGTCCAGCGTCCATGGGATGCCAGGCCAGGAATGTTGGTTTAATCCCAGTCGGATTCCCCAAAAGGCAGCTGGGAGACAGATCCATCACACATATGGCTAAAAGTCGAGCTGTGCCTCCAGCATTTCTGTTAGCACTTGTCTCGTTCAAACCAGTTCGAAAGGTTTTGGGGTCTTTGATGTCTGGAATTCGTCTGAGGAAAGGGGAGGGAGAAAGACAGACTGAGTAAAAGGTTCAATAGGACTAGGATCAAATGTCCGGCTCAATAAAAATGTAATCTGACAGCAAATAACCGTAAAAACAGAATAAGTTGCACAAATAGACTTAAATATGAAAAGGGAAGGAAGCTTACTTATAGTGGAAAAGATGACTCAAAACTGATTTCTCAACTGTGCTATTTAAGGGTAAGGATGACAGCACAGGAGGAAACTTATTATTCCATAAGTGCAGTTGATATTTTAACTCCTCAATAAGTCAATCCATTTTGAAAGTTCAAATGATATTTTATCATGGACTTTTATTAAACGGTGGCCCCCTTCCCCACAGCATTTTATTCGGTCAGCTCCAGCATTGAATCCAACAACGACCAGTGTTTAGACAGTGACTTTCACCTAAAATTATTAATAAAATAAACCGTCTCGTAATGATTTCCCCTCCCCCATCTTCTGCCCCCTCCTCAATGTCCAACCATGTTCATCCTTGCAAAGTCCCGCCGAGACATTACGCAACATGAAGCAGGTTGTTATTTACAAAAATAGAAATGATTCGAATGCTGTTGTGTTGGCCTCGGTAGCAGTTAATGTTTGCCGGCAAAGAATAAATAATAAGATGAGCGTTGTGTGTGTGTGAATGTGATTGTGTGAGTGTGTGACTGTCAGTGCGTGTGTGTGTGTGTGTGCAGAGTGGGGAGCATCTATTCTGTATTTTGATGCGTGGTGGGGAGGTTCATTCATCAGGTCGATGTGACCTGGGTGAGCAGTAGGTAATCCCTACACTGATTTCTTGATTATCACATGCCATTTAAGAAATACAATAAAATGTACATTAAATGCGAGCTGATTTTCTGGAGATAGCCACATGGACAGTTAGCTACATGGCTCCCAGTCAAACTGTAGGTATGCTTCTAACTGAAGTCTGGAACACCCTGTGCTGGTTCCAACTACAACATATTTCCCACATTTGGATCAACATTTTTGCTTTTCACGTGTTTGATACATTGACGCTATGGGCTGTAAATCACAATTAAATCAACATGTTGGACGGTGGCGGTGACGGGAGTGTGTGTTTGTGTGTGTGTGTCTGGAGGGGGGGGAAGTGGGGGGGGTTGGGGTGGGGGAGGTTTGCTTTTTGCTAGTTACCAAAACCATCACCATGTGGAAAATCCAGGTGTACAGTCTCAGCTGGGATTGTACGGTGGTGAGTCAAAAATAACAGCTGCATTGATTATTTCAGATGCTGGTCCAATTCATTACTGCTTTAAAACCTTACCATCTGCCCGCTCCCTCCTCTCAGCGGGCACCAGCCTGCTCCTTGCCCCCACCCTGCATGCCATCAGCGGTCAAACCATCAGCTTTTCTGCCCCCACCGTCTGAAACTCTATCCTGGAGCCCCACCACCTCACCCCCTTTCTTGCTTCCTTCGAGGCCCGTCTCAAGACCTTCCTCTTTGACCATGCCTTCAGCCCCCACCCCTTGACCTCCACCCCTCTTGATTCCAAATCCCAGTTTGGATGCAAACCCTTGACTATCCAGCGCCTTGGGATGTCCTCCCGCCGTGAAAGGCGCCGTGTAAATATAATTTGTTGTTTCTTCTCGTTATCCCTCCCCCATCTCTGCTAATAGTATAAGAGTGAATAAGTACCACATTTGATAACAGATACGGTATTGAGCAAACAAATGATCAAATCCATTACAGAATGGCACTTGGGTAACTGTATCGTGTTGAAAAGGGGAACAGAGGAAAGTCACCATTCATTTTGAGATGATACATTACAGACGGCAAGCGGTCGAACATGAGTGACAATGCTTTGCCGTCTCCCCACGAGGACGTTACGATGCCACGAGCTGCTATGCAGTGTCGTTATCCCGAACTAAGGCCTGCTACACTGGGACATAAACGCCTAATTGCAAACAGATCACTGTGTTTGGATCCTCAAGGCTGGTGGTGCAAATGGAAATTCAGTGATTCACATCAAGTCCAAGGTGTGCTCTCATTTGCATGGCGGTGGTTCACTGTAAAGAGTTGGCACAGTCCGTGCACTGAGAGAGGGGGGAGCCGTTGTAAGACATTAACTTAATCTTGCTGCCTGCTCTAGCCGCCGGTGCTTTTAAAGTTCATCTGGTGCTCTCCATTTACGCCAGAGTCAAAATATAGATCAAACGTAAATCCGATACTCGGCTTAATTAACATATTTTCTTAATACAAATGCAGAGTCCCGAATACAAGTGCGGTCGTGATTCAAACCAGGTGTCAAGGAGACCATATTGGATTAGAATACCTTTTTGTGTTTCTCGGGCTATCAGTGTTAATTTCTTCAGCATGCTTCCCCTTGACCATTTGCCACTCACTTTCCCACCTGCACTTCCTTTGTTGAGCCAATTTCTTTTTGTAAAAACAAACAACTACCCCTGCCCTTTCGAGAACGATGCATTCATTCCGCGCCCAAGTAGAAAAGCTGGAAACAATGAAAGTGGATCGTAAATAGGAAACTTAAAATAGTTTAATAAAGTGCATGAGAAGCGCAGAACCACTGGAGGTCTATTCAGGAATGTATGAGCTTGGCTCAGCCAGCAAAGCTCCCGCCTAGCTGGAGGGTGCAGGTTGGTTCAGTACTAGGGATGACTTGTGATGCAGCATTGGAGAGGAGGATGAGGCAGATCTTTTAGAAGAAGGGTTAAACTGAGGTCCTACCCGGACTTTAAAATCACGGTATTTTAACAAAGAAGGGAGTATCTCCGGTGTCCTGGCCGACAATCCTCAAATGAATTGATCGTTCACCTCATAGCTGTTCATGTGACTTTGAGTGGGGAAGGGGGGAGGGTAGTTTTACTAACAAATCAATAACTCACAAAAAAATGATTCCAAGGTTGTAGGTTTTTTGACAGTCTTGTGTATTTCTCAGCGAAACAAACTTAAAGGGGAAGAAAATTAAATTGGAATTTCCAGATGGCCTTCCCTTCCCGCGATCTGTTTAGACAGTATCGGTCAGGTGGATTTCAGCTTGTGAGCTTTGCTCTCGAGGACGCCAAGTTTGTTTTGCGGGGATTTCCAGGCCTGTAAATAAGAACTCGTGTCCCATGTTTTGCTTGCATAACTGGAGTACTATCAGCTTTAGGAATAGTTTCTAGTTGTAATTTAATCTCAAATCTATTATTAGACCTTTTTATTTTTGGCCGCACATGCACACACACACGTACACGTGCACATAATTGTCTTTGTTTTCCCTAGTGGTTACGGAGGAATTTTACAAAGTTTCAATGAATAAAAATGGAAATAAAGACAGAAAGAATCACAATTAATAATCCTTATTAATTTAGCTCCTATAACCCTGAAATGTCTCAAAGTGCTTCGCTGATAACTGCTGTCAAGTGTAGTGACTGTTTACTTGTGTGGGAAAACGTGGCAGCCAATTTGCATACAAGGTCCCATAAATAACCATTTGACCAATTTATCTGGAGGACTGTTGACCAGGAAATTCTCTCTCTTAGAATAGTGTTATGGAATTTCTAACATCCACCTGAACATGCAGTTTAATATTTCATCTGAAGGACATGCAAAGCTAAAGTCCTAACAAGTTGGGTGACCCTAGATAGACAAGCAGAGTGAAGCTGGCCAGGCAGTGCTCTCAATGGTAAGCTATACAGTTTCAGTTTCTTAAACTCTAGCTAGTTACCCCCACGCACACTCTTGGGTCCCCAAGCCTTGACTCTTGCCAACTTGTGCCTAATTCTTCGGAATTAGTTAAGCAGGGTGCATCACATCAGCAAGAGAGTCCAGACACAAGGAGGTTTCCATACAAAAGCAGGACTCTCATCTGATCTGGATACTCTTAAGTACAGTGTTGGGTTTCCATATGTCAGACACAGATGGGACTGACCCCCCAAAAAAATTCAGTAGAACCACGGTACAGTGTGATTAAACCAAACCTACTTTACTAAAACTGTGGAGCAAATTTCCCTCATATTTTGCCAGTAGCACAGCAGAATCCTTCTAGGATTTATCACCCTCTGCCTTGACAGAAACTCACTGAAGCAGGAGTCAGTGAGTTGAGCTGAGTGGAGCTGAGGAATGACCCCTGAGTGAGTAATGTTCAGTTTGGCTTTAAACTGTGCTCTTGAAATTGATCTGCACCGGTCCTTATAACACATTCACAACAAGCCCGCACTCCGGAGACGAGATCCTGAACTGCACTTGAACTTTCAACGCATTCAATGCCTCCTCGGCTTGGGAGAGCCGTCGGAAAAGCGTACAAAGGAAAGAAGACGGTCCCGAGACCAACAGTGAATGAAACCGTTTGAAGAGCTCAAATAAAGAGATTCAATCCATGTGAAATGGACTGGCGAGCGTTTGAAGTCACTGCTTCTCTTTGACTTGTGAACTATATTCCACTGCTTCGTAAAGACTAAACAATGAAAGGCTAGTAATGTTTGCACTCGAAGGAGCCTAATTTAATTACAGCAGGAGACTAGCTCCATTCAGTCATACAGTAAGTGAATCGGGATGTGGGGATCTTTTGAGTTAGTGCATGACCTCTTCCTTCTTAGGCTGATTGTGCCTGGAGGTGCGGCAGTACTAGAGGGCCTAAAGTTCCACACTGAGATTCTTAGCGGTGAAAGATATTGTTTTTTTAAAAAACGATTGTTCAGAATTTTCGAAAAAGTCTTAAAATTCGTTTTTTTAAATAAAAGGCTTCCGATGTACTTATTAGAAGATACTACCGTGCGCAATTGGCTGCTGCGTTTCGCCTACAAAATATACAGTCAATTCACTTTACAGTATATTCTGTGAAGCGCTTTGAGACGTCTCGAAGTCGTTGTAAATCTGATGTCCTGCTTTCTGCGATGTAAAATGCAAGGATTTTTATTATTATTATTATCCACAATTGTAACCGGGAGTCCTCTTTAAGGAATCAGTTAAATGTGTCGCCTTTTACACACTCGTTCTTTGATTCAACCCCAGTCTTTTTAAAATCGGTTTCTCAGAAAGATGCATAAAAGCAACAGAAGTGAATACCCCTAAACAATTACTGCCTCTCCATTCACCTCGCATCCCTCTCTCTCCCCATTTACCAACCTGAAATATCTGCATGCATTTGAACAAACAGAGGGTTTTTGCTGAGTCCACCGCACATAAACAGAGTGTTAATCTGATGTCCTGCTTTCTGCATAGCTTCCAGGATATGACGGGTCCCCAGCTGAAGGAACACAAATACAACCATCAATACAAGCACACTCTACGGCCAACAAATATCTGCAGTTTATCCCATTTGCTTAACGAATTTTAAGAAAAATATTTGGTTAAACGCAATAATCTGATTTAAGCAGGAAGTGGTAATTATGGGTCTCCCTCCACTAAAAATGTATCATTTTCCTCGGATTAAACACCTTACACTGAGCATTTTAAAGTTTTTATTTAATTTTAACTTTAACTCATTTGAGCTCAGATTAGTATTTTAAACTGAGCCATGCAAGGGCTTTGTATTTTGCTCTTACTTCACACGCCTCGGTTTTGTAAGTAAGAACCCGGATGTAAGTCAATTGGCGGGTCGCTTTTCTGGGGTAATAGTCCCTTCAAACAATATATATAATTATAATAATTTGATCACTCAATCCACGACTGTTTGTGGGATACTGCTGTGCACAGTTGGCTGCTGTGTTTCGCCCACAAAATATCTCGAAGGCATGATAAGATGCTATATCAAATGCAAAGATTATCATAATATATTGAGAAGTTGGGGGGGAGGGGTGTTCAAAATGCATTTTAATAAAGTTCCTTAATTAAGGAATGGAATATGTTTAGAAATCCCGCAAATTTTGACCCCATCAATACTTGGGAGTGGTTAAAACACTTTACCACGTCATTTCCATTCACAGAAAGGGTTACTTTGAAGTGTAGTGAGTGTTATGTTCAGCAAACCCAGCAGCTAATCTGTGGCAGCACACTTCACAGTCAGCAATGAGACGCAGATGAATCTTTTTTTTAGGAGTTTTAGCAGTGAAGCAGTACTACTCTAATGTGTTAGCCTGCCCGTGGCCTTCAATCTACAACCTTCTAACCCTGAGGTGAGCATGTTACCAAATGAACCAAAATAAATGGGTCCAGTTCATTTGACTTTTGAGAGCCAAGTCTATCTCACCACTGGACTATTGGAGTGTAAGGAAACAGAATCAGCCCAATCCATGATACTAGTTTAGTAAAATACACTCAACTTGACGACAACAACAACAACTTGCATTTATTTGGCTTTGAGTATCTTTGTATCTTTCTGTGATTAAAGTATGTTTTTTACTATATTACTATACTCACCCACACAAAACTCCGCTCCCCGATCACCCCAGTCCTGGCCAGACTGCACTGGCTCCCTATCCCAGAGAGGATCGATTTCAAGATCCTCACCCTCGTATTCAAGACCCTGCACTCCTCTGCACCCCCCGATCTCTCTGACCTCCTCTCCCCTCAAAACAGTACCAGTTGCCTTCGTTCCTCCACTCCACCCTCAGCGGCCGTGCCTTCAGCCATTTTGCCCCGAGGCTCTGGAACTGCCTTCCTCACTTCTTTCATCTCGCTCAGACCCTTCCCATTTTCAGGTCTCTGCTGAAGACCTTTCTTTTCGACCGCACCTATGGTCACCTTCCTCCCCTCCCCCTGGCTCGGCCCGGGATCCGTTACTGTGAAGCGCTCTGAGACGCCGTCCGGCGTGGCGAGCACTATATAAACCCAAGTTGTTGTTGTTGTAAATGTTATTTGCCATATCAAGTGCAAGGATTATTATTATTATTGTCATGGGACACAACAACAACAAAATTACATTTGTATAGCGCCTTTTACATCAGAAGATCTGTAGCTCAGTGGTAAGAGCACTCGCCTCGCAAGCGAGAGACCTGGGTTCGATTCCCGGCAGGGCGAAATGTTGGGCAAGTTTCCTTACTCCACATGCCTGTTTACCCAGCAGTAAGTAGGAACCCAGCTGTTAGTCAAAAGGATCGCTTTTCCTGGGGTAATAGTTCCTTAACAAAAAATAATAATAAATTGGTCACTTCAATCCATGACTGTTTGTGGGACACTGCTGTGCGTTTTGCCCACAATATATACAATCAATTCAATTGACAGTTTATTCTGTGAAGCGTTTTGAAGATGTGATAAGGCTCTATATCAAATGCAAGGATTATTATTATTATATTAAAATGTGCCATTGCACATTAGTAGAGGGTAATCAAAAACAGAGGGAATCATACCATAAGGATGATAGGTTTGTGTATTTGTGAATAAATCCGAAAAGGCAATATTCTCCTCACTTCAGATAACACATTTGCTTTAAGACTGTGTAATGTTCTGACCTTGGAGTCAATCACCGATCCTCTACTGGCCTGTGGAGTCTGAGAAGACTTGGATTGGAGCCACATTTGCACCAATCTGCTGGCTCACTTAGGGATAGCGTCTCAGTTGACACAATAGACTGTGGGAAGCTATTTAATAATCACGGTAATTCCTACAATGTATGGAGGTCATTTGGTCATGAGCATGCATAGAAAAGCAGTGTGTGAAACAACCTGTTCATTACATTATCTCTGGGGGAAAAGAAACACTGAAAGAAAAATAGTAAGTTTGCATGAAATTCCCCCCACCCTGCCCGCTGCAAAAATAAAATTAAAACAACATTATCATGTTGCTGGGTTAGAGATTTTGTAATCTGATCCTACCGAGTCACAGACGTTCTGGGACAGATAATTGCCTCAGAGGATAGATATGGACTGTGGATTACCCTGATCAATATTTTTGCACCACTCAATCGTGACCTTTTGCTGAAAAGTTTATTTGCCTTCATTGTAGCAGGAATTTAGCCTTAAAGGGGCTTGTTGCCATCCAAGCACGTCTCACTAAATGAACATTCCACTGGGTCACGACAGGATTATCCAACAAATAGTTTAATATTAATCCTTTTATTTGATATAGCGCCTTATCACGTCGTTGAGATGCCTCAAAGAGCTTCAAATTGTAAATTGAATTGACTGTATTTTGTGGGTGAAATGTGGCAGCTAATTGCATTGTAATTATAACATGTTATACTAATAATCCTTGCATTTGATAAATGGCCTGAGAGATGTACTTTAAATGTTCAAAATGAATCAGTTTGTCACTAGGACAAGTCAACAATACATTACAATCAAAATCAAACCTACTTACTGCTATAGCTTGAACCGAAGCGAGGTACAGTTTAGCAAGATCATCCAGACTGTTGGTCAATCCCAGCCCAGTTACCTGTTCACAAGAGATTAAGGTGCATTAGTGAAATATAATAATAATATTCCTTGCATTTGATATAGGGACTTATCATGTCTTCGAGACGTCTCAAAGCGCTTCACAGAATATACTGTAAAGTGAATTGACTATATATTTTGTGGGCGAAACTCAGCAGCCAATTGCGTACAGCAGTGTCCCACAAACAGTCGTGGATTGAAGTGACCAATTTATTATTTTTTAAAGGAAATATTACCCTGGGATAAGTGATCTACCAATCGACTAACAACCAGGTTCCTGCTTACTGCTTGGTAAACAGAGGCGTGTGGAGTAAGGAAACTTGCCCAATATTTGCCCTGCTGGGAATCGAACCCAGGTCTCTCACTTGCAAGGCAAGCGCTCTAAACACTGAGCTAGAAGACTCCAGAAAATATCGAAAATAATAGAAATTTTCAGCACACAAAAGTTTCTTTGGACCATCAAGTCTGTGCCACTACCTCCTCTGTTTTCTAAATTACTCTTTTTTTTATTAATCGCGTGCTCCAGTTCCTTTACCATTTCCCTAGTGCTGATACTCTTCAGGTGTTTATCCAGTTCCCTTTTGAATAATATGATTGACCCAGACTCACTCGTGATTTGTAGTAATGCCTATCACATCCTCTAAGTGAAGAAATTCCTTCTAAAGTGAAGACACAGCTTACAATGGAATTGTTTTGCTGTCTACACATATCATTGATTAAATATTTATCATTGCCAATGACATTCCTTGCAATACAGGGACCTAACTTCCCCAAGTGCCTCTAGTTCTAAAGAATCATCTGTGAGAAACACTTTCAACAAAGAATCCCTTTTACAACAACATCAATTTGACATTTACATAGGGCTTTTCATGCTGATGACTCAAAGGGCCCTAGAAAGCTGACTGGGAGTCCAAGCTGTGGTCGGGAGATCTGTGAAAGGAGGGATAAAAGGTGTCCAACAGCAATCAAAATGTGAGGTCTTAGGACAGACATTAGTGAGGAGGGAAAGAGCAAAGCATAGGATCTCCAGGATGGAGTTACAAAGAAAGGGGGCACAACGACTGTAAGCTTGCCCTCCAATACCGGAGCATGAATCAGGCCGGTATTCACTGAGCAAAGGGAGTAGCTGGGAAGGCTGGGTTATAGAAGGCTTCAGAGGTAGGATGGGGCAATATCATGGAGGGATTTGAATGTGAGGATAAGGATCATGAATTGGATCCGTTGGGGGAATTGGGAACCAGTGGAGCTGAGCCAGGATGAACAGGATAGGCTCATACAAGCTGGAACGGACACGAGGAGGAGAGTTCTGGATGATCTCCATCTTATGTAGGGAGAAGCTGGGAGAGGGACGTTCAAATAGTTGAATTCTAATACCTCAGTGGTATAAATTTCAGAAACACCTCCTAAATATTAGGAAGAATTCTGCTTTCTGGAATCGAACCACACCCTTGGAAAGACTGAGTGACTTGGCCAAGGAGTGAATGAGCAACTCCACTGGCTTTAACGGAAAACAGTATATTTTTCTGTTCCCAGGTTCCAATACAATGTTGACAGACACTAAATAGTTCAGTGCAGGCCAATTACCATACCATAAGTGCATGGACCGATGATGGTAGCAAAGATTTGTCCCGCTGATGTTTTTTTGATGTTCGATATTGCTTTTAACGTGACTGCCTTGTGTTGAAACCAATTCTTAGAAGAAGCAAAAGATTTTGGGTAGTGGAATTCTTTTTCCATCCAAAATTCGTAGAGGAAGCTCACAAAGATTGAAGTGTCCATCCCATTTTGGGCACCAGTCCATTGGCAGAAGGGCATGGTCAAGCAAATGACCCAAGTAAATCTCAATCTGCTTAATTTGATCGAACTGACAGGCAGGACAGGCAAAGTTGAGGCTTCTGTTGACCTTTGTAGGCGTAAAATGATATCTACCATTTGTCTTTCCACAAAATATCATTAAGCTTTTGAACAGATGTTTTTTTTTCACAGAGCAAGTTTGTCTGAACATTCAGAATGTGGCTCTGGTGCTGGAACACTGGACTCAAACATCGATGCCCCAGGTTCAAATTCTGATTCAGGCTGACAATTAAATGCACCTAATGCCACAAAGTGGGGTCACCTCTTCTCAACTAGTTCATGCATGAAACGTCTTGCAGCAACGTCTTGTGTTTGGGAACGTGAACTGTAAGAAGGCAGAGAGGAGAGAAAGACAGTCTGTCCCGAGTCAGCGCTCTGAGACGTTATCCTGCATGAAGCACGCTGTATAAATGCAAGTTGTTGTTGTGCCATCTTGCAAACTATGTGATCTGGATTTACCCTGGCAGATAATATTTGGAAACGTGTCAACTCTATTAAAAAGTAATTTCTTTCAAAATGATTAGATAGAGAGGAAGCTTTTAGGGGTGGGTTCGAATAATGCATTGCTGTCGATATTTTGTTTTAAAAAAAATAATCAACATTAATGGAAGAGTGAACATAGCAACCTTGGCTGGGGGCACAGGTGGCTCACTGGAGTCAGATTATAATGGGAACAAACACTCCTTCGGCTGTGATGGCTTCTGAGCTGAAGTTGCCACTCAAAACCATGTTATTTGAGGAGGGTAGCATGGTCAGGATTTGGGACCTCCAGACGTGAAAGGCACTATACAAATGTAATTTGTTGTTGTACTGGGAGAATCACAGATTATCTATCTAAGTAAAATTCCCCTCCCCAACCCCCAGGGAGTGTGCTATCATTCTTAATCTTAAATTTGTGAAAGAAATGTGTGTTGATCGATACATTGACCCTCCATGCTTTCATTTGCTATTACAGTGCAGTATTGGTCACAAGCAGAACCTCTCCTGTTGAAACTGGTCATAATAATCTTTGCATTTGATATAGCCCCTTATCACGTCTTTGAGACATATCAAAGCGCTTCACAATACTGTTGTCATGCAGAGGTGAGACAGGCAATGGGGGGGGGGGGCGCGGAAGGTTGGCTAGATATGGCCAGGGAGAAATCAGCGGGAAATATGGAATCACGTCAACTTGGTCTCAACTTTCACTGAAAACTCCCGGAAAATGGGGATCAGGAAAGACCTTAGTGCTGGAGCAAACATCTGCTACCTCAAGTGTTCTCTGTGAGAACACAAAACAAACGTTTTTGGAATTTAAAAAAATTAGGTCAGGTTTTTTTTGAGTTTGGGGGAGGGGAGGGGTGGGGGGAGGGTGGGAGGCCGGGAGGGAGGGAGAGGCCGAAAAACCAGCGAGAAAAAAAATGTTTTCAATAGATCCCAAAACAAAACAGCAGCTGTAAGCCAAACAATAATGGCTCTTAAAAATGAATTGCCATCTCCCGCGCGCTGAGACAAAGAGAGATTATTTCGATGAAAATCAATCAAATGCCTAAAAAAGGATTGATATTCATTTTTTGAAAATGTCATCATTGTTCCAAACAACGGCTATACAAGGCACCTCTGTAAAACCGAGTCGTACCTACCATGCCCTTTAGGGTAGGATCTGCTAAGGGAGATCTGTTGCCATGGAAATCAGGCCAAACATGTAAATCAACAGTCAGTATGCCCATAGCAGAAGACTTCTTAATGGACTCCAGGTGGCTGTTTAAGCACATGTAGATATTTTGCCCGCTGGAAGGAACAAGAAACGGCTTATGAAAATTAACTGTTTTGAAACTTAAAACTGTATTAAAAAAATTGCAGTAATTTGCTGCCTGAGTGCAGTTTGTTTCTAATAACAACAACAACTTGCATTTACATAGCACATAGCTTCATGCGGGGTAGCGTCTTGGAGCGCTCAATTATACCATAGCATAATGACAAGGCAAGAGAGAGACAATCATCCGATGGTACTGTGGTTTTTCTTGGGGAAGGAGGGATGGGGGGTTGGGGGGGTGGTGAGGTGAGGGATAATGATTTGATTAATCTGAAGCTTGAGCTTGCATATTTCTGTTGAAATGAAGACCTAATGGGGACAAAGATGCAATATGTGATAATTATCACATTGACTTAAAAATGCGATCAATAAGAATCGATGTTTATCCCTATCCCTGGAGAGAGGGGGTTGGAGGAGGGGAGGTTAGAATAAGTGGAAGGATGATGTATGTATCACCAAGGTCAGTGATAACTATAAGTGGCAGCTTTTACTGCATTTTTGTTCAATGTGATAATTATCAAAGGTGATAATATTACATATCTTATTATCCGTTAAGATTTTGCACAATTTTGGAAAGTTCTTTAATTAAGTCTTAATTTAGAAGACAGTTGATTTTTTTTTAAAAATGACTGAAAACTTGCTGTTAAATTAAGGCTGAATTCAAGGATTTTCTAAACTGCTGCACAATCGTAAGTTTCAAGACAATGTTCTCACCAATAAAACGAGAGCTGAATTCAGGGCTCTGATCTCCCTGCTCGGAGCTGTTCACTTGGGGGGCACGATGCATGGAAACATGAGATAAAATTTATCACTGGGTGGGGAATAGGCCGCTGATAAGCCTTTGGCCGTCAGGGAGAAACTGGATACAAGGGAGTTATCCTGATCTTCCCTGCAGATTGTCTATGTACAATTCATATTTTGTCTATCTATACCCCAAATCACCAAGGACCTCAAATCAATTATCGCTTGCGGAGTATCACAAAATACACAAATCAATTCACTTTACAGTATATTCTGTAAAGCACTTTGAGGCATCTCGAAAACGTGATAAGGCGCTATATCAAATACAAGGAAATTATTATTATTAATACCAACACCAATTTATATTTGATGGTGCCTTTCACATCGGGAGATGTCTTTGGCCTTACACAGTCTGAGCTGGGTGTGTGGGGGAAGGGTTGTAGATGGCTGAAAGCTAGGTCTTATGGTGGGTTCTGAAAGTGGGGCAGAGGGGACAAGGCGGAGGGACTCTGGAATGTAGATCCAGAGACCAGATTCACCTCCCAAAGCTCAAACTGATGTTATAGCTCCAATTAGCAGTAATATTCATGGGCTTCCATTGTATCCTTGTAATGGGAAATCTGCTACTGTTAGTGATCAGTGAATGGTAAACACCAATACAGTGTGTTTAAGGATGGTGTCTAAGTGAAGGCCTAGCAGTCTGTCTTTCCATGTCTATTCCATTATCCCTGGAAGCAATCCTCATTGCATTCAAAGAATATTACACACATGTGTAATATGTGTTGGGGGAGGTGGCAGTGAACTTCTCCAATACTACAGTGTCATGAATTCTAACTTATTAAACTTATCACACCAAAAATCTAGAAAGTAATTGAAATGAGCAAAGACTTATCTGCAATTTGAAAACTCCAGTGGAAAATCAGCCCTTGGATGGTTCCATCAACTTCGGAGATGTTATAGCACCAATTAGCAGTAATATCACAATCAAGCGAGTCAATTAGTGTCTACATGTACATCGCTGTTGAGCTCCCTGTGGTATTATCCACATGCTCACCAGGGTAACATGTGACCTTTTAGCCTCTGTGATATTTCATCCAGAGATTTAACCCCACCACCATCAGCACATTTCTTTAAACCCGAAATTATCTGCATGTATAATGTGTCTCGATTAAATTTCTCTAACTTCGATGGCAGCATTTTGTTGCTCAATAAGGCTGGTTGAGGCTAGTTGATTTTTGCCGCTGTTTACTTCGGTTCAGCAGCAACAGCGCAGACTTTGCATTAATTGTCAATTCAGGATGAGGAGGGAGGGTGAAGCTAAATGAAAATTACAAATAATAATAATCCCTTCATTTGATGTAGTGCCTATAACGTCAAAATGTTTCAATGCACTTCACAGATAATTACTGTCGAATGCTGTGTGTAGTGACTGTTTTTTGTAAGCAAACGCCGGAGACAGTTTGCATGAATAAGGTCCCACAAAATGCCATGAAGTGAATGACTGGTAAACCTGGAAGATTGTTGACAAAGGTGGAAGGTTGTTGGCCAGGACACTGGGAAAAACTCTTCTCTTTTCCAATAGTTCCATGGGATCTTCAACATCCAACTAATTACTCCGGTTTAATGGACAGGTATGACACTTGATGGTTAGGTAGATTTGAATGAATGTTTCAAGTGATAAATAAGGAGGATAATAATCCCACCTTCAGAAGAATAGTTTTGCTCTAACGAAACAGCATTCCCATTAATAAGCAGATATTGCGCTTATGGCAATATGGAGTCACATAGCTCAGTGGTTAGAGCACTCGCCTCGCAAGCGAGAGACGTGAGTTCAATTCCCAGCAGGGCAAAATGTTGGGCAAGTTTCTTTACTCCACCACACGCCTGTTTACCTGTCAGTGAGTAGGAACCCGGTTGTTAGTCGATTGGCAAATCGTTTTTCCAGGAGTAATAATTCCTTAAAAAAATAATAAATTGATCACTTCAATCCACAACTGTTTGTGGGACACTACTGTGCACAATTGGCTGCTGCATTTCGCCCCAAAAATACAGTCAATTCACTTTGTGAAGCGCTTTGAGACGTCTCGAAGATGTGATAAGGCGTTAAATCAAATGCAAGGATTATTATTATTACATATTTTCTGCCTATGCGAGAAGCTTTACTTCAAATCCTCCTCCCAATAATATGTTGCAGTACAGTACACCTTCCAGTTAACAACTTCTCAGGAATAAGATTTTAGAGCTTTATGTGTGTATATTGGTCCCAGATGCAAAGCAAAAAAGGCTCCAATTCAATTGAGTCAAATCAGCACTTATCCTGATAATCTTAAAAGGCAGGGTTACCATTTGTTAGAGGTCACCTCTAGACTATAAGAAACAGACGCACCTCGCTTTAGCTCGGGCCTGTAGCTCTGGGAATGTGGCGTGGGCTTTAACGACGTGGTCTATCTAAAAGAAAACGAAACACATTGCACAAGGGACGTTAGTGAGTAAGATCTTTATAGTAAAACAGGCTTGTGGTTTTCACACATCTTCAGAGCTTCCCAGCAACATAAAAAGTCGGGTGGTGCCCAGGAGAAAGCTGGAGTTCAACTTTCAGTTGCTCACTATCAACTCATCAATCAAAAACAGTAATAAAACTAGAAAGTTGGGAATATTTACAAAATGATAATTGGAAGAATGTGTGTCTTTTAGTCTTGGCTACAACACAAAGTGCCCATCCGACCTGGGTGTGCTACAACCTTGCTGAAACCACATTTCTCTTTGTTTTTTTGCAGTCAAACTTTGGATATTTTTTGCTTTTTTTCGATTCAATGAATGGAGTTTTCATTCAGACCAAGCTATTCAGGATTACACTGCAGCCGCTCAGATGAAAGACGCTGAACAGTTCAAAGACTGATGAAAATGCGAGTTTACTCTGGCAATAATGGATGTGACGATACTGGGTGCCCTGCCACTCAATGAATTATTTTGGCAAGAGATGAAGCCCACATGCACTCACTTTTCAAATTTATAATTGCTGTTAGGTCACTCCTCCTCTTCATAACACTAGGCTTCAGAATTTTACCCCTGTGTTTTTACTTCCATTACCACCTTTTGCCAAATCCAAGACTAGCCAGGCTCTGGGACAGATCAAGGCAGGGAAGGTGTTGGTGCAGGAGAGAGGAAGTGGGACATCAGAAAGTATTTCTTTATATCGAGGGGCAATCAAGAAGCAAAGGAAAGGAGGTTGAAGCCAGGTTGCTGAACTCATTTAAGAAGCAGCTTGATGCTGTAATGGGAAGACTCCAGGGTGGGTATTCCAGAAAGGTGGGATCAAATAAGAAAAGATTTAGTCTTCATCTGAATCTCTCTTGTAATTCCAATTATGATTTCTTAATTGAGGAATGATGACGCTTTCTGGGAGTCTGAAGTAAATCCCGTCGCCATGAAGAAACTCCAGAACAGAATTCCCTCAAGTCAGAGTGACGTCTCTCTGGTTTCCTTCATTAGGAAACCACTGTGTTATAGACCCCCCAATAAGCCTGAAGGGATGGCAAACATGAGGTTCTCAAAGGGTTATCATCACACTCACACAACAATGTATTGGAATCATACTCACCAGCCTCTCAGACTGAGGTATTTTAATGCTCCTTGCTAGATTCCTGCTTGAATACTGTGCTATATTTAAACGCTGCTCGCTAAATTCTCCAAATACAGAATTGAGTTTGAATCGCGCTGACCAGTCTCAGAAACTACAGCACTTGGCTCAGGCTTGTCAGCCTCCCCACCACTCCAGGCCATGTGGGAGCAATTGCTCTGTCCGTCGAACTCACTGACCTTAAAAAGATGTGCTCGGTGCTATAGTGACATCCCATTGTAGGCACACCCTATGTTATATTGGTATAATCCTCATCCATACACGTTCCAGTAGAGGTTACTGGATAGTGAACAGTACTCCTGGTTGCTCTTCCCACGCCCCTCCAACCCCTCCTTGCTCAGGTCAATTGCTGAGTAAACTAACTCTTTGCCAGCTTTACCAATCTTCGGAATCGCCACGCTCAGATGCCCGCAGAATCCTTCTTACCAATTTGCCTGTCGCGCTCTGTCCACCTTCATTCAGCCAAAAGCCAGGCACCATAGCAGAGTAGTAAGGCCCCCAGACACCGGGCACAAATATAGGATTCTCACTGATCTACAGAGGGAAAAAACAATGAAATTTGCTCAATATCTCTAACAAGCAATCCTGTCCTGGCTCAATTCTGAAAAAATAACCAACATAAAGGCTAACCAAGACATGTATTATTGAGTCTCGCTGTGATATTTAACTGTAAGCAGTTATCCTTTGTTCCTAACAGTCTTAAAATTGGGCAAGTTTTCTTACTCCACACGCCTCTGTTTACCTAGCAGTAAATAGGACAATTGAGAGTCAATTGCCGGATCACTTTTGTGGAGATAATCATCCTTTCAAAAAAATAATAATAATTTTGTCACTCAACCCACGACTGTTTGAGGGACACTGGTGTACGCAATTGGCTGCCGTGTTTCATCCACAAAATATAGACAGTACATTCTCTGAAGCGCTTTGAGACGTCTTGAAGACGTGACAAGGTGCTAGATCAAATGCAAGGATTATTATTATTATAATATACACAAGCAGCCCTTATATAAATATATCTACATGCTCAGAAAAGATTTGGTCGGCAGTGTAAACATTATTGAGCTTTGTTTGTACAGACACAACCACAAAATTCTGACACCTCTTGAGCGAGCAGCAAGCACACTCCTTTTAATGATCACGACTGTCAGAGCTGGAACATCAGAAGGAATATACAAGAAAGCTGGGATGTGTTTAAGAAGTATTGTGTAACAAAAATGCAACTGAAATCTGCGTTCAATAGAATGACTGGTTCTGCAGAGAGCTTAGGAATGCTCCGTGTTGCACACTGAAGTTATAATAATCCTTGCATTTGATATAAAGACTTTCATCTTCGGGAGTATATCCCAAAGCACTTCACAGGATATGCTGTAAAGTGTAGTGACCATGTAATGTGTAGGGGAACACAAGCGGAACAGAGAAACTCCCTTTTCTTTTTGAAGAGTATCACCTGAACAGGCAGAAGGGACGTTGATTCAATCTAATCTGAAGATCGGCATCTCTGGCAGTGCAGCACACTCCCAGCAAACTAAACTCTGAGTTCAAAGCCTGACATGGGGCCAATTTGATTGGATCATTTTATCCTCAGGTCTTTGTGTCGGCACTTGTTAGCCAAGTTCATTTCACAGAAACCAGGACTCTGCACTCATTTTTTTAAAAAACACACAAAACGATGCTGTGAAGGGAAAACAGTTGGGTGGGTTTTCTGGAAGGATGAGCTCAAATGGGCCTAATAGCCTTCTTCGTCCAAACTAATCTTGTGATCTTGTAACTACTGCCCTCGTGTCATCTTGGCTCAGTTGGTGGCACTCCCTGTAAGTCAGCAGGTTGTGGGTTTGAGCTCCATATTGGGAGCTGATAGTTCAGGCTGAGACTTCAGTGCAGTACTGAAAGAGCCCTGGAGGTGAAACATGAAACCGAGATCCCGTCTGCCTGCTTTCAGGTGTTAATGATCCCGTGACACTTTTGGATAAGAATAGGGAGTTTCCCCTGGTGTCCAGACCATGCAGCCTCCTGGTTGACTGGTCATTCATCACCCAGCTATGCCCCAGGCAGCCACCATGTTTGCCTACAAAAATGGTCACCGCACTTGGCAATAAATACACTGAAGATACAATACAAAATACAATGCAAAATTACATTTGTAAAGCGCCTTCACGTATGTAAACATAAAAACAGGAGGAGGCCATTCAGCCCCTCAAGCCTCTGTTCTACCATTGTATAAGATCATAGCTGATCTGTACTCAACTCCAATTACCTGCCCTTGCTCCGTATCCCTTAACACCCTGACCTAACAAATACCTATCCATCTCAGTCTTGAAAATTTGAATGGATCCAGCATCCATATCTTTTTGGGGGAGAGAGTTCCAGATTTCCACTATCCTTTGGGTGAAAAACTGCCTCTGATTTCAATCCTAAATGGCCCGGCTCAAATTTTAAGATGATGCCCCTTGTTCTGGATTCCCCACCAAAAGAAATAGTTTCTCTGTATCTACTCTACCGAATCCCTTTTATTATTTCAGAAACCTCAATCAGAAATCCCTCAACCTTCTAAACTCAAGGGAACACAGACCAAGTTTATGGAACCTGTTCTCATAATTTAACCCTTTAAGCCCTGATATGGTTCTGATGAATCTGTGCTGCATCCCCTCCAGAGCCAATATATCCTCCCTGAAGTGCGGTGCCCAAAACTGAATGCAATCTCCAGATGAGGTCTGACCAAGGCTCTATACAATTGAAGCATCATTACCTCTCCTTTATATTCCAGCCCCCTTGAGCTAAAGATCAACATCTCAGTAGCCTTTTTGATGACTTTTTGTACATGTAAGCTTGTTTTTAATGATTTGTGTACGTGGACACCCAAATCTCTTTGCTCCTCCACAGTTCTTAATTTCTTACCATTTAGAAAATATGCTGTTTCACTATTTTTGGATCCTCACACTTCCCCACATTGATTGTCATCTGCCACAGTTTTGCCCACTCAGTTAATCTCTCTAAGCCACTTTGTAACTTCCTGCTCCCATGTACACCATTTACTGTGCCTCCTAATTTGTGTCATCTGATATAAAACTCTCTATTCCTTCATCCAAGTAATTTATATGGTGAAAAGCTGAGGCCCCAGTACAGACCCCTGGGAAACACCACTTGTCACGACCCGTCAATCAGAGAAAGTTCCTTTTATCTCTACTCTAGGTTTTCTGCCTCCCAACCAATTTCCAAGCCAATCGCAAGGTTAGCTCCAATTCCATGCGCTTTAATTTTTGCTAATAACCTCTTGTGCAGAAACCTTATCAAATGCCTTCTCAAAGTCCATGTAGACGACATCCGTAGACACTCTCTTATCCGCCATATTAGTGATCTCCTCAAATAATTCAATTAGATTCGTTAGATATGACTCTCTTTGATTAGCTCATACTTTTCCAAGTGCTCAGTTAACCTGACAATTACCTGGTTTTCCCCTCCCTCCCACCCTCCTTTAAATAATGGAGTGACATTTGCAATTTTCCAATCCAAGGGCACAATTTCCGAATATAGAGAGCTTTGGAAAATTATGACACCTTTTCTTTTTTAGAAACTGCCAAATTTTAGTCAATATTCTGGTTTGACTGGTTTGGGCTTTAAGCTTTCAGTGATCGGATTCGGATGGCAATGAGTGTCAGCTTTGTGCAGCTAAAATTAGAATAGTGGATTAACCAAAACAACACTCAAACAAACAGAGCCTCTGGGGTCTATAAAAACATATTCTCACCCTGTGAGCACCAAACACGTTGCTATAAGCAGTTGTCTGGTGAACAACCAATTAATCTGGGGGATTAATGGTCCGGAGACATAGGAGAAACTCCCAGCTCTTTTCCGATAGCCACAGGGATTATCGATTGAAATTCCGCTCCTTCTTAAGGAGATTCGAGATAATTGTTGCAACGATCCCATTATATAACATGGCATTCTTCAACCCAACATCTCACCAGATTTCCCCCCTCTACTGTATACTGTGAACTTCACATAAATTGTATCAAAATTGGGACCATACATTGAATATGACTTATGAAAAGTCTGAGTTATGTCAAATTTATAAGTAATAGGAAATTCAATAGGACTTGGGCAGATATATGACTTAGCCAATTATACGATTTATACAGATCAGACTTAGTTTTACTGTATTTATAAGAAAATGCACTGCTATGTTAATCAGGAATTAGGAATGATTGAAGGAGTGCTCCAGTTTATGGTCTCTTGTAAACTTCCTGCCCTCAGTACATTGCGTTGTGTCTTTCAGCTGTCCGTGCCTTTACCTGTTTTGTAACCCCAGCAACTGCCTCAGTTGCAGTGTTTATCTAACTTGATTTATTTCTGTTTTCTTTACTTCACGTTTTACCTGACAACTCCCTCTTGCTGGCAATCTTGATCTTAGAGTAATATAATAATGATAATAATAATCTCTTTCGTTATAGAGCCTTATAACGTCTCAAAGCACTTCGCAGGATATACTGGTAAAGTGGATTGACTGTGCATTTTGTGTGTGAAATGAGGCAGCCAACTGCGCACAGTAGTATCTCACAAACAGTCATGAATTGAGTGACCAAATTATTATTATTATTTTGGAGGGATTATTATCCCCAGAAAATTGATCCGCCAATCGACTAACAACCGGGTTCCTACTAAGTTCCTACTAGGTAAATAGAGATGTGTGGAGTAAGGAAACTTGCCCAACGTTTCGTCCTGCCCGGGAATTGAACCCAGGTCTCTCGCTTGTGAGGTAAATGCTCTAACCACTGAGCTACATGACTCCACACAGTAGAATCTTATTGGGTAAAAAATGCAACAATAATTATCACAACTCACGTTGCACTTTTCACCCAACAGAAGGTCACGGCACAGAAACAAGCCATTCAGTCCTGTAAACCTTCCTGCTCCCTTTGGCAACAAATTGCAATGATGCATTCAGCTACAAATAGATAGTCACTACACGTTACTGTAAAACCGTGTGAAGCGCATTGAGACATGTCAACGGCACGATAAGTCTCTGTATCAAATGCAAGGATTATTATTATTATTTGCATCACAAATTTCTACTGCGTCATCAAAGTGTGACTGTGTTTCTTGGACTTATTGTGGCTCTGGCAGAAATGACACCCGGTTCTCCTCCCCCCGCACGCTCCCCCCACCAAACCCTCTCCCCCCCCAAACTCCAAGATGGTGCTGATTTCCACATTTACATTTTCTCATGTATGCGGATGACACCCAACTCTATCTCTTTGCGTCTTGTCCTGACCGACTTGCCTGTCCGACACCAAGTCCTGGACGAGGCACAACTTTCTCCAACTCAATTTCAGCAAGACCGAGGTCCTCCTGATTAGCTTCCGCAGGCACCTCAGCACCTCCGGCGCTGGCAACATCAGCCTCCACAGCTACATACTCAACCTCACTCAGCCAGTCAGGAACAAGACCAGTCAGGTCTTGTTTGTCCCTGAACGATCGTTTCTCCCCCACATCCGCGCCATGACCAGCACTGCCTACCACCACCTCCGCAACATTGC